CTACGAGCGTGGCAGTTTGTTGTTTTTCACAGTTAAGCTGGAATTTTAATTCCAGTGTACATCAAATAATTTAAAGTCTGTGGAAGTTTGGCCCACAGTTAATTCCTTAGATTTTTAATGCTTTTCTATGTTTGTTTATAGGAAATCCTTTGTTCTTTGTTCGTATTGGGGGATGTTTTTAGGTCCCTTTCTTTCTAATAAACACACAAACCAGCACCTCATGTTCACCTGCTCCCAGACTTTTTTCATTTCGCCTCCTCAGTGAAATCCCTCCCCCATCTAATTGATATTCATACAGTGTGTGTGTGTGTGTGTGTGTGTGTGTGTGTAATGGTTCTGAATGGGATGAGGTACAAAAGGGGCAGAAATATGAAAAGGCGAGAGAGATGGGGGAAGGGACGTGTGGGGTAATTTATGAGGTATTTTAGTAGGAGGAGGTTTAATCTCTTTACACACACACACACACACACACACACACACGTCCTACAACATTTCCACAAAATCAATATACAAACACAGGAAGACTTGTAAATGCGATGAAACACATTTATAAATTTATACCTGCTTCATTTTTTATATGTTTTGTATTTTATATATTATTTTTTACACGTTATTACGTCACATCTCCATGTAAAGATTCTGATTATTATTTTGTTGTTTACTAGTATTTTCTCAATTTATTGTGCAGTCTCTAAATGTCTGTCCAAAGCTTCCAAAAATGACTTATAAAACCCAGAAACAGCTAGAAATGTATGAAATTAAGAGTTAAGACGCTAACGAGTTTGATATTTCTATTAAAAATATTTAAAATTGTTACTATTTAATTTTCTGGTGGTTGAATACTAAATTGGTATACTAATGAGTTTTTCATTTTCAGTGCTTTAGGTTCATAGTTTCGTTTATTTATGTACAACGTCATTGATATCCTACACTGCACAGATTTTCAACCATGCTTTTATTGTGAAAAGTGGATTAGAGATCAATAATTATTTTTATTACAAATAGAGAAATTGACCCCTATTTTAATGTCCGCTTGACATTAAATTTTAGATTTAGATTTATGAGTTCGATCTCCATAAACGTTTTAGATTTTTGCTTAAATAAAATTTGCATAGCGGTGCAGACAAAGCGATCTGCATGAAAGCGATATATTCTCAGAGATTTTACGTTTATGTTGGTACTCCCCAGGTGCTATTTAGAGATGTCGATTCGCTGATTGATGTGTTAATTAAACTACATAATGGCCTTATTATCATAATAGGTTGTGTGTTTTTAATGCTTTTGTGATTATGAAGTGTCATTTTGTAGCTTAATTGCCTTTTGTTTTCAGTAGTAAATGTTCTATTTGCACATTTGCCTCTGATCTACGTGTACTCTGGGCTAATTATACATTTTCGGTATGTTAATGAATAATCCTTTCGCATTAAGACATAAAAGGTCTTAATTTTCTCCCCCGTCTCCCTCTGTGTTCCCCCTCATTTCCTGTCCATCCAGGAGGGCCAGCAACTGATCCAGGAGAAGCCGGAGCTGAGCCCGGTGGTGCGGAAGAAGCTGGAGGAGATCAGGGAGTGCTGGCAGGATCTGGAGAGCACCACTCAGGCAAAAGCCCGCCAGCTTTTTGAAGCCAACAAGGCCGACCTGCTGGTGCAGAGTTACGAAAGCCTCGACCAGAGACTGGGCCAGCTCGAGGGTCAACTGGCCTACGTCGACCAGGGACAGGACCTGACCACCGTCAACAAGCAGCTCAAAAAACTGCACGTACGTAACATTCAAGTGGTTTTTGGCACATTGCTGCAGCCATTTCACCCACAGATGCGTTCCTCTAACCTCTGAAGTGGTTTAAGTTATGATTTGTTTGTACAAAGATGCTTTTTCTGTTTCATCTGTCAGGTAGTGAGTTCTTGGTTTCCAGAGTTTAGACTTTTATTGAATTTTAACCTGATAATAATAGATATTTAACTGTAAATGAACAGAAAAGCACATCTGGTAAATTAACTGAGGTTTATCCTTATATAACTGTATTCTTGGGTGGATTTTTTTGGGGAGTTTGTGGGTTTTTTCTCAGTTTTTCCGTAGTTTTAGCCCAGTTTTGCCCTAAACTGTTAACGTAATTCTGCATCTTTGCTTCCTTGCATGTTGAACCATCTCAGAGTGAATCACTGTTTACGTTGTTGTCGCTACACAGAGATGGCCTCAGCTCATTAATATTCAAACAAAACCTCGTGTTTGAAAATGACTAACAGCAACATTTCTCGCTGCGCCTGCACAGCTTTCTGTTTGCTTTCCATCTCATTTCAGCAAAGTCAGCTTCTCATAAGTTCGCGCCAGCATTAATCTTTAATTTGCGTTGATGGTTTTTGGACACAACGTAAGCCGTCAGTGTTCCAATCCAATCCAATCCAATTTTATTTATAAAGCACTTTAAAATACCCAGCACAGGAACAAA